ACCCAGCACTAAGAGGCGGGGAGACCCGGGGGGGAGGGGTGTCTGCAAACACCCACCCACAGAGCCCACTCCTTGCTGGCTCCTTCCCAGGCCCCGGTACCTACTCAGTGCCCTCGCTCCTGGGCCCCCGGGTCATCGGTAAAGTCTCGGCCCCAACTTACTCCATCTACGGCCGCCACGCGGCGGGCAGCTTCTTCGAGGACCTCAGCAAGGTGCGGAAGGAGCGGGCTGCTGGGCACAGCGCAGCGAGACCCACCCACAGAGCCCACTCCTTGCTGGCTCCTTCCCAGGCCCCGGTACCTACTCAGTGCCCTCGCTCCTGGGCCCCCGGGTCATCGGTAAAGTCTCGGCCCCAACTTACTCCATCTACGGCCGCCACGCGGCGGGCAGCTTCTTCGAGGACCTCAGCAAGGTGCGGAAGGAGCGGGCTGCTGGGCACAGCGCAGCGAGGGGTCGACCGGGAGGACCGCAGCGGAAGCGAAGGGGTGGGAACTCACGGATAGCGGGGAACAGAGAGGTCAGACCCAGCGCCTCTTCTGCCTTCCTGCAGACCCCGGGTCCCTGCGCCTACCACGTGGTGAACCCTGGGATCTACAAGTCTCGAGCCCCCCAATTCACGATGCTGGCGCGGACTTCACTCCCCCAAGACAACACCCTGAATCCCGGGCCCGCAGCCTACAACGTGGACCAGGTGATCTGGAGTTCCAGGTCGAGGGTCAGAGGCGGGAGATGAGGGTCCCGGTCCAGGACTGAGGGTCTGAGATCTGAGGTCTGGGACCAGGCTCTCTGGGGGAATGCGGGACTCGACGCGGAGCCGCATGGCCGGCTCCGCTGAGTCAGCGACGTCTCCTGGGTCCGCAGCACCGGAAGCCTCGCGGCTGGAGCTTCGGGATCCGGCACTCGGACTATCTGGCCCTGAACATGACAGATGCTGTTGACTAATCGGCCGGCGGGCGCGGCCCTAAAAATGTTTGCTTAAAGATCCCAGAGCCAGTCACGAGTCTGCCTCTCTGTGCGCGCGGCAGGGTGGGGCGCCGGGCGCGCGCAGCGGGATGGTTGCCTGGAAGGACGCGCCTGTCGAGTCCCGGAAATTTCGCGTTCCCGCGAGCCTTTGTGATTGGCCGGGACAAAAGCGCGCGCGGGCAGCCCCGCCTCCCCGAGGCGGCGATTGGTTCAGAGTTCCGCTTGCCTGAACCCCGCCCACCTGCCGTCGTGGGTCCGCCCTTGACAGTCGCGGGACTGTCCCTTCCCTTCCTTGCGGTCCCTACCCTGTGGCCACGAACACAACAGGGCAGAAGCAGGTTGGGATCCGTAGCAGGTCGAGCGAGGCCGCTGTGCGCGACAGGTACGGGCCGGGGTCAAATTATGAGGCTAAGAAGTGGGAGCCAGACACGGAGAGATGCACACGGCCGCCACACACAGGGGACGGGAAGGGAGGGACGGACTTGAGAAACGGGAACTGGGTGGGGTCAAATGCACCTGGTCGCACAGACGGGCACAGGGCGGCGGCAGGTTCCAGGTTCGTCTCGCATCCCGCAGGCCCAGAGCCATGGCAGCTCCAGTGACCCCAGGATCCCTGGCACCCATCCCAGTTGCGCCTGGCGACCTCTCGCGGGGCGGGTCCCGGGGCCCTCCTGATCTCCCGGCAGAGCCCAAGCAGCTCCCTGAGCTGATTCGCCTGAAGCGAGACGGAGGCCGCCTGAGCGAGGGGGACATTAGGGGCTTCGTGAGCGCTGTGGTGGATGGGAGTGCACAGGGTGCGCAAATAGGTACGTGGGCGACCCCTGGGCACCCGAGTCCTGAGAACACCATATCGCCCCACCACTGTCACTAACCCCAGGATGACCCATCGCTGTGGGAACGCCCCCTCATGTTGTCTACACCACCGTCGCCCTTACTTAGGGGCCATGCTCATGGCCATCCGGCTGCGAGGCATGGATCTGGAGGAGACTGTGGCGCTGACCCAGGCCATGGCCAAGTCTGGGCAGCAGCTGGAGTGGCCGAAGGCCTGGCACCAGCAACTCGTGGACAAACATTCCACAGGGGGAGTAGGTGACAAGGTCAGCCTGGTCCTGGCACCTGCCCTGGCTGCCTGTGGCTGCAAGGTTAGAAGATGCTTTCTCCAGAGACCAGAAACCTCAGAGGCTCACAGTCAGCTCCCAACCTCCAACAGCCCAGACAGAGCCCCAAGGCAGAACCCAGGCTTCTTGCCCCCCAGGACAGAACAAGTCTCCCTCCCCATCAGCCCCCCATAACAGGGCCAAGTTATCTAGCACCCACTCCCCATTTGGTACCCCAGAAAGGACTCCCAAAGGAAGAGCTGGGTACTCCTCTGCCTCAGTCCCCCAGACTTGCGCACCCCCATCCAAGGCAATGTTTTCCTTTCTCCACTAGCTGGATACCCTCTCCATCCTTAGTAAACTTAGCTCCAGCTGAAGCCCTAACCTGGAAGGGGACAGAAATGTGGGGGGTGGTGGGGACAGCCATTCAGTTGTCCTCAGCATCCCTGCCCAGCAGGTACCAATGATCAGCGGACGTGGCCTAGGGCACACAGGGGGAACTTTGGACAAACTTGAGTCTATTCCTGGATTCACCGTTATCCAGAGCCCAGAACAGGTACCAGGGGACCACTGGGTTATTGATGGAAATATTAACCAGAATCTCTGAATGATCCCTGATGGGTTATTAATCGGGGTCACTAATGGGGTAATTGATCAGAGGTCATTGGGAGTCCTGATGAAGGGGTACTTGGCCAGATGCAAGGTCTGCTGGAGCAAGTTGGCTGCTGTATTGTGGGTCAGAGCAAGAAGCTGGTTCCTGCAGATGGAATCCTGTATGAAGCCAGAGATGTGACAGCCACCGTTGACAGCCTGCCACTCATCACAGGTGACCTGACCTAATTCCAGGGTCCACCTTCTCCATGTTGGACCCCTGACCTCCCATCACAGTCAGGGTCTTCTCATCAGGTGACTGTGGAGCCTCCCCCAACCCCAAGAGTAGTGTCCCCTCATCACAGGATGCCTGACCAACCCGAGAGTGACCAGACTGGCACACACATACCAGGCCCTGCCTCCCCCATCATAGGGACGTGACCCTCTAACCCTTGAATCTTTGGAGAACTCCAGGCTCTCCTTTACGTCCAGCCCCTCCCCCTTCCACCCCCAAGCTTCTATCCTCAGTAAGAAGGTGGTGGAGAACCTGTCTGCTTTGGTCATGGATGTGAAGTTCGGAGAGGCTGCAGTCTTCCCTAGCCAGGCAGAGGCCAGGGAGCTGGCGCGAGCACTGGTGAGCAGCAGTGCCAGATGGGGCTGTGTGGCCTCTCTGTGGGATCCCTTGTAGCTGAGGCCTCCCTGTCGAGGCGGATCTGCCCCTCCCGGCCCAACCTTCCCTTCATAGTCGGACAGCCTGCTCCACTCTGCAGCCCTTTTACCTTGGCCTCTGCCAGGACCTTGTTTCCCCCTGGCAATCCTGACCTCACTGAGCAAGGCTGACCTGGCTCTGCCCCAGGCTTCCGGCCGCCCTCTACTGCCAACAGACACACCGCCTGCTTCAGGTCCCCCCCACCCCCACCCCTTCACTCCTGGGCAACCAAGTGTACAGCCCTGGCTAAACTTTGACGACACGGCGGGTTACAAGAGGCCGTGCGGGAGGCAAGGAAGGGACCACAATGAACCGTGTCTCCACAGGTTGGTGTAGGGGCGGGCCTGGGGCTTCGGGTTGCAGCCGCTCTGACGGCCATGGACAACCCCCTGGGTCGCAGCGTGGGCCACACCCTGGAGGTGGAGGAGGCGCTGCTTTGCATGGACGGTGAGGGGCCGCCGGACCTGCGGGACCTGGTCACTAAGCTTGGTGAGTTGACAGGTGAGAGGTGTCGGGCCTGGGGCTACAGAGCCGCTCCCGCTGCACTTCAGCTCCGACCTGCCGGCAGGTGGCGCCCTCCTCTGGCTCAGCGGACAGGCGGAGACCCAGGCCGAGGGCGCCGACCGGGTGGCTGCGACGCTGGACCACGGCTCAGCCCGGGGCTGCTTCGAGCGAATGCTAGCGATGCAGGGCGTGGACCCAGGCCTGGCTCGAGACCTATGCTCCGGGACCCCCGCGCAGCGCCACCAGCTGCTGCCGCGCGCCCAAAGGCAAGAGGAACTGCTCGCGCCTGCGGACGGTGAGCAGTCGCAGACCTGCGTCCCTCCCCCCGGCCCCATTCCCCGTCCAGGTCTCTCCCCTTCCTGAGCCCCGGGCCCTGCCCCTGCCCCAGCCCCGCCCAGCACTCTCTTCCCGTAGGCACCGTGGAACAAGTCCGGGCACTGCCGCTGGCGCGCGTGCTGCACGAGCTCGGCGCCGGGCGCAGTCGCGCGAGAGTCGCTCCAGCCAGGGGTGGGCGCCGAGCTGCTGGTCAGCGTGGGCCAGAGACTGCGCCGCGGTGAGCACCGATCCCGGCCCCTCCTCGCCCGCGCTGGCCGCCCTGCCTGCTAGTCTCCTCTCCCGCTGACCGCCCGTCCCGCTGCCGGCAGGGACGCCGTGGCTCCGCGTGCATCTGGACGCGCCGGCGCTCAGCGGCCCGCAGCGCTGCGCTCTGCAGGGGGCGCTCGTGCTGTCCGACCGCGCGCCCTTCACCGCCCCCTCGCCCTTCGTTGAGCTCATCTTGCCGCCGACCGACACGCAGCAATAAAGCCCGAGAGCCGCAAAGCCGTGTCCGTGTCTGTTGCGCCGGCGGTCGGGAGCGGGAGGGCGGGAAGCGACGGTCGGCGAGGGGCGGGGCGCCCGACACGTGACCTCTGCTGGGCCCCGCCATCCCCTACGCGCACTGCCGGGTCCAAGCCCAATGGCGCATGCGCAGCGCCGTTGACGCAAGCGCACAGGCGACAGCGCGGCCGAATTCCCGGCGGCTACGGATCCTTAGAGAACGCGGCTGGCTGCGCGGTGCCGTGTTCCCCGACGTGAGGCACAAACGTCGGACCCCTGGAGGTGCAGACGCCGGGACCCAGAGAGCCTGGGAGGACCCCGGGTGCGAGGGACGCAGGGCGGGCGGGTGCCTGGGGCGTGCTCTGTGGCCCGCGCTGGCGTCCAGATTTCTGACTTCACCATTGGGCAGACGGGCGCCTTCCTAGAGGGCACCCAGAGAGGGGTGCAGGAAGCCTCCCCACTGCCTTCGCTTGCAGGCACATCTCGTGCACTGCTTAGAGCCCATTTTGTAAAGGAGGGAGCTGGTAGATTAGCAAAGAGACGTGCCCAAGGTCACGCGGGAACCGTCCGGACCGGAGTGGGTGGGGTGGGGGCCACACGTTTAGGAATCTTCGGTAGGCCGGCTCAGCACCAGGTGGACAGGTGAGTGGGAATCCTCAATACTACCTTGCGGTCCTGCAGAGGCCCCTGCAGAAAGGCACGGAGGTCACCTAAGCTACAGCAGGGCGTGGGCTGTGAGCCACCAGAGTTGCCATCAGAAACCTGGATGTGAAGAGGGTAGGACTTGCGGCAGTGGAGTCCTTGTTTCTGCACCAGGTTAGTGAGAGAAACTTCAGTGGGGATTGGGCGAGGGACGGAGCAGCATCGGAGTTGCCTTTGCTTCCTGTGGGCAGACTGGTGTGGATGACACCAATTTTGGCTGGAGGTGGGGGAAGGTGCCGAAGACCATGGTTGAAGTAGTCTCTGAACTGGAAGGCTGGCAGGCTGCAAAGGGCCACAGAAGCCAGTCTCTGGGGGTTAAAGCCAGACTCACACGCCTCCTGCCTGAAATGGGGGCTTTATTGCCGACAGATGCGCATGCTCAGAAGTCCAGGTAAGTCAGGCACTATAGGTGCAAGAGGGCAGCAGGATCACCGGCGGGCGGGGTGAAAGAGAATGAAGCTCTCGGGCTAAAGGACAGTTACAGGCATGGACGTTTGGGGATACCTAAGCTGGAGTTTGAGGCTTCAGAGGTGAAGCGGTCCTGAGCTCAGCTGAGAACTGGGTGAGCAGTTAGGGACAGCTGTGAGCCTAAGTGTGGGGTTGGTCCTTCAGAGTGATGGGGGATGCAGGAGGCCAAGGCACCTTCTGGCTCCCAACACCTTTGGTTTTTTGCAGAAGCATCAGGCCCATGCTGCTGCTGACTCGGACACCTGAGGCCTGGCACAGGCTCTCTCAGCTCAAGGCCACAGCCCTCCCTGGGATTCTGGGAGGCAAGGCCCTACATGTGAGGTGCCGGCTCTGGTCAAGGCAGGGCTCTGCGGAGACTGGCAGGCAGGGCCAGCCCCAGGGCCCTGGGCTGCAAACTAGGCTGCTAATCACAGCTTTGTTTGGGGCTGGCCTGGGTGGGGCCTGGCTGGCTCTGAGGGCTGAGAAGGAACAGTGGCGGCTGCAACGTCGGACAGAAGCCCTGCGCCAGGCCTCTGTGGGCCAGGGTGACTTCAGCCTGACGGATCACCGGGGCCAGGCTCGCTGCAAAGCTGACTTCCAGGGCCAGTGGGTGCTGATGTACTTTGGCTTCACGCACTGCCCTGACATCTGCCCTGACGAGCTGGAGAAGCTGGTGCAGGTGGTGCAGCAGCTGGAGGCCGAGCCGGGCCTGCCCCCAGTGCAGCCCATCTTCATCACCGTGGACCCCGAGCGGGACAATGTTACAGCCATGGCCCGCTATGTGCAGGATTTCCACCCACGGCTGCTAGGCTTGACCGGCTCTGCTGAGCAGGTCGCCCAGGTGAGCCGCAGCTACCGTGTGTACTACAGCGCCGGCCCCAAGGACGAGGACCAGGATTACATCGTGGACCACTCCATTGCCATCTACCTGCTCAGCCCTGATGGCCTCTTCACAGACTACTACGGCCGGGCCCGGTCTGCCAAGCAGATCACAGACAGCGTGCGGGGCCACATGGCTGCCTTCCGCAGTGTCCTGCACTGACCATTAAAGCCGATTTGAAGAGCTCTGTGTGCGTGTAAGCTGTCCCAGCAACCCCGAGGCCTTGGAAGGGCAGGGCCCAGGACCTGGTGGCTTGCTGGGGGTGCAGGGAAGGGGCAGCCACTGTCTCTGCACGGGGCGGGAGTCTTTTTAGGGACAGGTGGATGGCAACACCACTTTATTAGGCTGGGCCAGCCAGGAGGCGAGGGCGGAGTGAGCAGATGTGTGCCCATCCCTCAGCTCAGCGCTCCCCACTCAGGGCTGGGCCATGGAGGGGGCAGTGTAGGTCTGGAAGCGCGTGTGGGCCCGCTGGTGTGTAAGCAGTCTCAGGGACATGGTATCCACAGCCGCCTCCAGCCCTGGCTGCTGGGTGATGTCCACTGTGTAGTCGTTGGCCTGGAAAGACAAGGCATTGGCAGAGTCCAGGCACCGCTTCCCTCCCAGGCCCCCTGGGCTACTCACCAGCTGCAGCGAGGCCAGCATGGAGCGGCACACTTCGAAGGCAGGCTGGCCAGCCACCAGCTCTGCAAAGGGACACCACTGGTTGAGCTGGCTGAACCTGGAGACCAGCTGGTCCCCATAAGTGTGAATGTCAAAAGGCACACGCTGCTCCTGCAAGGGGGAGAGGCGAGGTGCTGGGGCGAGGCTGGGGCAGGCAGCGGGACCCTGTCCCCCAGCAGAAGCCCGCCCGCCTCACCTGCTCCTGGAGCAGGGGCTGGACAGTGCCCTCCCATTCGCGGATGCGCTGGCTCAGCTCCGTCTCCTGCACGAACTTCTGAGAGGTGCTGATGAAGAGCTCCTGCAGGAGGACCGGGGCGGCTGCTGCCTTCTGTCGGGCCATGCCCAGCCCCCGCTGCCCCGACCCAGGCCTACCACATTCCTTCGGACCAGCTCCTCGTAGCTCAGGGCCGCCGGCATGGCCTCTGCTTCTGGAAGACGGGCAGCCATGAGCTGTGGGCCATCACGCCCCTCCGCCCGCAGGGGCCCCTCATGGTTCCTGTCCAACCCATTCCTAGACCTACCCAGGTCTGCAGCTTCCCCGGGCTCGGCACCCTCAGTCTCCACGTAGTCCTCGGCCTCTAGGAGGTCGTCTGCTGGGAGATGGAGTGGCCGCAGCGGGAGGAAGGTCAACAGGCGGAAGGTCAACGGGCCACCCGTCTTAAGCCACCAGCCCAGCCCACCACAACAGCCGCACCTGCCGCCCCCAGGTCCTCCAGGGAATCCTCCAGGTGGTCCTCCACAGGCCACAGCCCCTCCTCAGCCCTCGGCAACCATGGCTCAGCCACCTGCGCAGAGAGCATCTGTGAGGGGCACTGCTGTCCCCTCAGGGCCGCATGGGGTCCAGACTGGCAGGCACTTGCCTGCCTCCTCTGCAGCTTCCGGAGGGTCTCGAGTTGCTCCCTGACGTGCGTCCAGTACAGGACCTCCATGTCTGCACAGAAAGGCCTCGTGAGCGGTGCCGCATCCCGTCTAGTCCACCCAGGGACCAGAGCATGGCACTGTCACCCAAGAAGGGCACACAACGGCCCCACTCACCTGCAAAGGACGGGCCCTTACGCCGGGGTCTCCTTCCATCCGTGTGGTCAGCGTCTACAAGAGCAAGTGGTGGGCACGGGCTGGGCTCGGGCCCCGCCCGCCCACCCGCCCCAGCCCCTCAGGCCACTCACAGGCGGCCAGGTACCACTGGTGGAAGTCCTGCAGCTTGGCACCGCCCTTCCTCTTGCGCTTCTGTCCTGGAGCCTCCTCCACACAGGCGGGCACAGAGTAGGGCCTGCCTGAGGACACACCGATTGTGTCTGGACAGATCCCACGGGAGCACAGTCCCCACCAAGCTGCCCATGGGTATGGGGCACACCTCACCCACCACTTGGGCCCCAGCAAAGCCAGCCCCGATACCAAATGGAAGTAATCCTCCACCCAGTTACCTTTCTTGAACGGCCTAGAGTCCAGGGAGTTGAAGGGGTCCAGGCTCTCCCAGGGGTCTGGGCTCTCCTGAGCAAAGAGCACAAGCAGACACTGGGGAAGTGGGGGACGTGCACCCTCCCCCCACAGCCTGACACTCAGTGAAGTGACAGCCGAGGACTGGCCACTCAATCCGGGATCTGGGGGCGGCACACAGGGGCCTCAGGCAGGAGTGAAGGGTGGGTGGTGGGGCTGCCAGTGGGGTCTGGGCCCCCACCTCTCACCTTCAGCCGGCACGCGGGATCTAGGGCTTCTGGTCGCTCCCGCAGGGTGCACCCCATAGGCTGGGCCATACTCTGCAAAGAAACAGCCCAGGATGCCCCTCCTCTACCCGCCCCTCCTTCACCCAAGGCCCTGGGGGCGCAGCTCAGCTCTAGGGGCAGGAAGTTCAAATAGTTCAAGGACTAAAAAGTAACAAGACCTGTAGGAAAAATGTCAGAAGAACACACAAACTGGTAAATGCGTGGCCACGTGGAAAAACAAATAGTATGAACATTCATGCACCTGCCAACCAAAATTACCCATTACCACTGTTGCCCGTATGTGCCGGGTTTGTCTTTCAGTGACAATTTCTTAGCTCCAGGTGGAGCAGAGCCTACCTGCTGGAACTTTAGAGGCTACCTGCCATCCTGGGTGGCACTGGGACAAAGGGCTGGGCGCAGGGCAGGTCTAGGGCTGGCTGGGGAAGCACCCACTGCCCTGACGAGCAAGGAGGGGGTCTGGGGGCACAGACCCGGCTAACAGCTCAAGCTCAGTAGCCTCTGTGGTCCCACCTGCTGCGGGCTCCGGGGCTCCTGGGGCTGCAGAGGGGCCTCAGGGTCCGTGGCCTCAGGGAGCTCTGCCACCCCCTCTGCATCCTCATCCTCAACCCCGCCTCCGGGCATCGGGCCTTCTGGAGAGGAGCCTGGGCAAGGGAGCAAGACACCTGTCAGCCCCAAGGAGCCCGGAGACCAGACAGCAGGTGGGGCGACACTCCCGCCCCGGGGAATGCAGCCAGCGTCACGTGTGACACCCAGAGGAGGCAGCAGTGGTACTCAACATGCTGCTGCAGTTTGGTGGGTGTTCTTAGCTACTTTCCTCTTTAGATGCTGCCACCTGTGTGTGCCCAGAAAGGACAGCTAGGTCCAAACCTCGGAGGCCCGAGACGGGCATTCAGCACGGCAGCGAGGTGAGGGCGAGGCCTGGGTGCAGTGGGGCCAGCTCCAAGGCAGGCTGGGGCCGCTGGGTGCAGAGTCCCGCCCCCACCCCACCTGTGGGTCCACCAGGGTGCTCTCTCCTCACCTGGCTCCTGGGAGATGCCAGGCACAGGGACCGGACTCCTGCACACAGGGGCTTCCACTGGCTGCTCCTCCGCCCTCCCCGCCTCTGGGAGAGATGAGGGTTCGGCAGGACCAGCCCCATCCCCATGACCCCCCTCCCAGAGGCCCACCAGAACCTGGGCACAGGACTCAGAGGCCTAGGACTGAGTCAGCTGCGGGCAAAGGTGAAACAAGGGGACCAGCTCCAGCAGGCGGGTCCACGGGGCAGGGACCAGGGCTTCTGGACACGGGACCAGAGCCACTGGACACAGGGCACACTACGAGGAGCCCAGCCTCGAAGACCCTCTCTTCACACCAACACCCACATGCGAGCCCTCACCCTTCCTCGGCTGCAGTGCCTCCACGGGTGACATGCCCACTGGCTCCAACATGAAGGCTCCTCTGGGGTGAGGCGTGCACGTGTTCATCCTGAAGTCCTTCCGGCTGGCCAGCACCTCCCCTTGACAGCTGTGCTTGCGGCAACACAGCAGCTGCAGAAGCTCTTCCCAGGCCAGTCCTGCCCCCACCCCCTGCAGGCCCAGGCCTATACCTGTACAGGGGGCTGGCATTCCTCTCCATCTCATCCAGGGCCACCAGGGCCATGGGCAGGAGGGGGACGATGAGGACCTCCTGCAGAGGCCGAAAGTGGGTGAGCTTTGGGTTCATGGGCTTTGGGCAGGGACCCCCATCCACGACCATCAGCCCCC